CCTGCACAGATTTAGGAAGTTAGGTGAGGTTACATAGGTTAGGTAAGGTTAGGTCAAGTTCTAATAGGTTCTGCATTTTGTCGTTTTGATTTTCTTACTTAGTATCGTTCAAACATCTCATGAAAATTTGGTGCAGTTCCATAAAGTCCTTCTGATGTTAACCGTCTCTTCCACCATCACCTAAAATGTGGTATTTAAAGACTGTAAAATGTAACTTTTTCCTAACCAAAATCATGATTTTTTTCTGTTCACCCCTAATGAGAGGCTGCAAAAGACCACTAAACATGTAGAGCTGCTATCAGATAACCACAGCTCTCACCCACTCAAGCATGGCCACAACAAATTGGCCGCGGATATTTGTCAGGTTGTCGTTTTTTTTTTAATAACACCAGTTGTTGTTGATTGAATTGGGCGAAATTTTATGGAAACATTATTTATAGCAATATATTAAATAGATAAATGGAAACGAGAATGCACAAAACCTATTAGAACTTGACCTAACCAACCTAACCCTAATTTAACTTACCAGATAAACCTAACGACGCTGAATGGATTCCGGTTTCCATTTACCTATTTAATAGATTGTAATTAATGTTACCACAAAGTTTCATCTGCTTCTATCTACTCCCTCCGGTGTTACTCTAAAAAAAAAAAAAAAGTAGATATTTTGCCGTGACCAGCTAAGTTCCTACTAAGGCTATTTTACTGTGAGTGCGCTCTAATTGGCTAATCGTCCATTACCGACGAACAACATGAGAACTATGTTTGATCGAGACTCTGGTGGTATTTGGCATTTATTTTGCTGTGCATTGATCGTTGTGTAGCTATAAACAGACCTAACAATATTTCTGTTGTGCATGGAAACTACTGTAGTGTACAGTATAGTCTGCATTTATGCGGCTTTTGTTTACGCGTTTGGTCATTTACGCGGTGCCTTGCCAGAATGAAAATGCTTTAATTATGCGGTAACTTTGGTCATTTACGTGGCGAGCGGCTGGAGAGGTACAGACCGCCGCGCCATTTTTTACCCATGCGGTCCATTCTTGACCATACGCGGGAAGCGGCGCGGTGAGTGGTGCGCATTAGTCCGCTCTTACATTATCGCTGACGTCATATGACGTATCAGACTGTGATTGGGCCACGCATTCCCTCCGCCGCTAGCTGTGATTGGTCTAATGTAACTTGACGTGCCCCGCCACCACCAGAAGTCGCTGACCTAGCCGGGCCAGTCTCATTGTTCTCAGTGTGCGTATACTGTTCTCTCTTGTGCTCGCTATTCCCCTCACAATGGCTTCTGCTGGACCCCCAGCACCCCAGAAAAACCTTGAATTACCTGGACCAAGCCATGATAATGTGAAGGAAATCATCGAGTTGGAGGAGAAACTTAAGCTCATCCTTGACAACGACCCAGACAAGCATCGGTATGAAGCGTCTAATAACCATCTGTCGAAAGTTATGGAGCCATATATCCAGATCTATCTCGACAACATCAATGCTAGTCGTCAACGTAGTATTAAGGACTTCTTCGCCCACAATCCACCACAACCACAGCCAGCCCAAGTCAGTGACAGTGAGGATATGGACTTTGAGGGGTTTGTCTGGGAGGCCCTGCAAACCTCTGCGAGTAGTGAAAGTGATTCACCAAAGGGCAACTAATCTGCCCTCTTCCTCGGAACCAGCCACCATCCACGTGTGCCGACCCATCTCTACTACTAACGTAAGTGTTAAACACCTTTAGATTTGTAGTTATTTATTTAAATATTATGTGTGTATCAATACCATCATAAAATTATGATGTTATTTTTACTACAATGTACGTATTGTGTCGGAAAAAGTGGAGTTTGGGGGTCGGCCCAGTCTCTATTTCAATTAATCCATGTGTTCTGTTATTTCATTTACGCGTTTCTCGTTTTACGTGGTACTCCACGGGTTCAATTGACCGCGTAAATGTAGACTATACTGTACTAAAAAAAAATAGAGGTAAAGATTCGTTTTAGGTCAATCATGGAATTTCATATTTCTATTTATACTGGGAGAATGCAAAAAACAGTATATATATATTCTATTACATTTCAGGTGCAAATTTAAAATTTTTGAGTATTTTAACTGATAAGACCTCCCCAATTACCAACAATAATGGTTGTTCGAAGTGGGCTGTAGAGGGAAAATGTGGAGTAAAACACTAAAAAGTACACCAAAGTAGCCTTTGAAAACCATACCTAACTTGAAAAAAGGTTAAAAATGCAGTAATGTCTAAGAACACCACTAACACGAGAAATAGTTTGATTTTGTTCATTTTTCCACAGATATTTGTATCACTATAAATGAGGTGACATTTAATAGAACCAAATAGAACCTGACAACCAACCAAAAAAACCTACTTAACCTTACCAACTTCCTAGTAAAAGCGCGTTAGAAGGAACTTTTTTTTTTTACGGGGAATAGGCCACCCGGGCACAGGTCAACGAACCATTCTCAACCTCTGTTTTTTTTTGTTTTTTTACCAAATGCTAATACGGTATACAATTATTCTGATCGTGACCGTCCGCAGTTTTTTGTTGAAAATGGGGTTAAAAATATTCAGTTTTCACTGATTTTATTAAAGGATACTGTATTATGTTGGAAAAAATATAAAAATGGCTGAAATCATGGATTAATATTCGTTTAATGGCAGTGGCAAGATTTTTGTATTTGGTTATTCTAGGGTTATTTAAAAAAAAAATAGTTTGGTTTGGTTAGGTTATGTTTCAACAGTGATTTGGAAGGTGAAATTGTTATGAGAATAGGGTTTTTTTTGTGTATTTAGGTGTGTTTTACTCAAATCTGACCTTCATTTCTTGTGCAAAAGAGTGAATTTAAAAAAAATATATATATATATTTTTATTTTTACAAAATTTGCTCGTTTGCCCCCAAAAATGAAGGTCAGATCTGAGTAAAACACACCTAAATAAAAAATAAAAAAATATATTCTCATAGCAAAACGGGGTATTATCTTACTTTAGGAAACAGCTTACCCGAAAATTATAAACTACTGAAACATTTAGATCTCGCTATTCTGAGCATTTTGAACTCCATATACCTGTATACATGGCGGAAATGGATAATAGCGACTCAATTGAATTAATTGATTTTACGTAGTTTTCAGTCTTTGAGATTTATCAGTGCATCACGCATGCGCAATAGACTAACGTCATCCAATCGTGACCAATGATGTATCGATATCATCACGCAAATTTTTTTCGACCAATCACATTTGATTTTTTTCAAAGGAAGTCGCCTGGGTAATTTCATTAACCAGTCTCACAATGGCCGTGGTGGAGGTTGGTTGTCATTTGCGCTCCTACGATTATTTTAGGTTTATTGCTGAGTTTTAGGAGAAAGACGATCATTCTATCCAATTCTTATGTATCCCTGGTCCTTCCACTCTAACTAAGGTATTGTACTTTTGGACATGGCGCACCCCCAAAGTTTTTAACTACTGAAACATTTAGGTTAGCTTAAGCTAGGCCTACCGGGGGTCCGAGAGCAGAGCCCCCGGTATTTTCATTTTCTCCCCCACCCAAAATCCCCGACTTCCCAGGCTCTCCCCCAATATTGTTGGGGCGGGAGGGGGCAAAAATGAGCAATTTCCACCAAAAATTAAGGTCAGATTCATTTAAAACACACCAAAATACAATGGAAAAACATATTGGTCAACCCCTAGGGACTCATATCTTAGAGTAAAATTTTACCCAAAAAGGAGTAACAGCCATTAAATGAATATTTACCTAACCATGTGCTAACCTAACCAAACTTAACCTACTCTATATTTTAACTCTCCTATACAGATGAAATTAAGCATTTACACAAGAAAATTAATGAACTGAAAGCAATCAACATACAAAACTGTCTAAAAAGCCCTCATAATTAGTCCTCACGGTACATTATCTATATCTGCCACATCACAGCTGATGATGCACCTGTAAGAATGCTAACTTAACTCGTCTACATCTAGAAAACTAAGCTTTTTCCCAAGAGAATGAATACAAGTGAAAGTAATCAGCATACAAACCTGTCTAAGAACATCCCTCATAATTACTGAACTGCTGGCGGTCACGAGTCGTATATTGGCCACTAATACTAACATGTTAAGAACACAGGGTCAAAGGATCACAATTCTATATTTCTCTTTGAGATGGGATATTTCTCCGACACAGTCTAATAATGGTACCTAAGAAAAACGGTAATTTTTCATTAACCACCCATCACTTTTTTTCACATGAAAAATTTTTTTTTTCACTAATTTCTTGCTGTTTTAGATAATTCTGACATTTATTTTTGGGGCAAAACACTTTTTTTTTAGTTAGGTTATGTTAGGTTAGGTTGGTTGGTTCCTTTGGTATGAGAACACTAGGTTATTTTTGGTGTTTTACACAAATCGGACCTTAATTTTGGGGACAAATTAGCATTATTTGCAAAAAATTAACATTTTCATTTTAACAGAAAATACTAATTTGCACAAAAATGAAGGGCAGATTTGTGTAAAACACCAAAAATAGTCTATTCTCATACCAAAGGAACCAACCAACCTAACCTAAAAAAAAAGTGATTGGCAAGGATAAATGTCAGAATCATCTAAAACAGCAAGAAAACTAGTGAAAAAATTTATTTTTTATGTGAAAAAAGGTGATGGGTGGTTAACGAAAAACTACCAGAAAAACACATGAAAGTCTACTTTATGCCACATCAGCCTTAACCACTGGGGAGGCTAAACCCTGTACTCCACACACTAAGATAGGTCAAGCTAGTAAACAACTATACACAGGACCGTGAGGATAATTTGTAGTGTTGACTACTAATTTAATACTTGGATAGACACTAATTACAATATGTCTGGAAGTAACTCACAATACATAAATATTCTGTTATCAATTATGAATGGTTTTAGTCATTGCTCTAGACTACAACTAGGAAATGTTCCAACCAACCACGCATAATACATATTGTTCTTCTTTCATTACCTAAACAAAAAAAAGATCCCTCGTGACGACACAGGACCATTACATTTTGTATATAAAGTCGTAAAAGCACAGACAACTGCATCGAAGCATATTACTACTGACACTAAACATTAAAGAATAAGTGTTACCCGCAACTGGTCTTCCGAATCTGCCATGTTTGTTTGGGTTTGTTTTCAAAACCGTAGCAAACAACACGAATATCCACAAGTTCCATTTTCATTCTATATCTATTATTACCAAAATAATTGCACAAAAGTTTAAATTATTCAATTGGTTAATGTTCAATAAACTCTGAATTTCTTAAATTATAATCATTCATACCGAAGAAAGCTTACCTTTTATAACATAGCTCCTACCATAGTGTCATCCGGGTTACCACAAAGCGCGCCTTACAGTTTGTTCCCTACAGAACAATCCAACATCTGTACCATGTCTACGACTTACCCACAAAAAATAGCTGCAATTTAGCATGTAAAATATATTGTAATAAATAATTTAAAATTTTCAGAATTGCTTGTGCACACTTTCAAATATTGTTCACAAAACAAATGGGATATTTACACGGTCCCACGGGAAACTAGAAGGCCTGCGAAAGGTTCCTCATAGGAAAAAGAAAACGCGAAGTTCCCAAGTGCTTTCGTATATATCATATATTCAAGGGTGAATACACATACATAAATCGAGAGGGTCCTGGGGTCCGGACCCCCTTCCCCTTTTCCTTAGAAAATTCCAATGCTTTTTAGGTGCTACTATAGCGCGCGATCTACCGCAATATCCGTAGTCTACCGACCTGACCTGACCTGACTACCAGAACACCAGGACCCTAACCAACCTTATAAAAGGGGGTTAAGGTGTATTTTTTTTTTTACGGGGATTAACCTACCCGGGCACTGGTCACTGACCCAAATCGGGGCCTGGGGTCGGAAAATGTAATAATAATAATAATAATAATAATAATAATAAAGAAATACAAAATTGTGTGTGTGTGCTTGTGTGTTGTGTTGTCAATGGTAAGAGAAACAATTGAGACCTGCAACTGTGTGTAAATGAGGCAGAAAGTCAGATCAGCAACCTGGGACTTGGTCACAATTTTAGTGATGCCATATGGCAGCAGGGTCCACCATTAGACAACACATTATGCTTCCAATATCTTCCCAGACGGTAGTACCTCCCTGTTTGGTAGTTGCCTACTACCTAATACCCTCAAGGTTAGGTTAGGTTTATCATTTACAAAGAATATGATACGAAGTTTATGTCATTAATATTATGCTATTATTCAACATCTTATATGTTTTGTTTGTATGATTATCATTAAAAACTATCTATCACTATTTTGTTTTTTATCATAAAACTCTACAGTATAATAAATAATACTATATGACAATACTAAATTGCAGCCTACAGTATAAATTGTACCAGGTAGACCGCACGCTATAGTGTAAATGTCCCGGTAGACAGCACGATATAATGGCACCCATTATTTATTAATTTATGTTATTTTTTCTGTTTACCATTATTTACTTATTTACTTAGGGCCTCACAGGTCAGAGGGGCCTTTCCAAATTGAAAATTTTAAAAATAAATAAGTAAATAATGGTAAGCATAAAAATAATATGAATAAATAATGCTGTATCCGGTATATGTACTGTAGATATAGATTTAGGTGTGTGTGTGTGTGTACTCCTTCTTCCTCTTCTTTTTCTTTTTGGTGAATACCTTTAAAGTATCAATAAGAAGTCCTGAAATTTATGAGAGTGTTGCACCAAATTTTTCATTCTTAGTTGATTTAGATGTCTCAGAAATAGAGGTTGGTGAAAGTGTAAGGCAGTTAAATAGAGTCTACCCTAATGATGTTGACGACAACCTTGTTGGTGAACTGAAGCACTCATTCTTATGTAAAGAAGAATTGCCCAAATAAAGTTAACTTAAACCACCAAGATCTATATATATCAAGTCATAATCAAATATAAAATTCAGATGACATTCCCAAATGTTGAATCAATATTATGACTTTTTTTTTAGCCTTATGGACTCCACCGTTTATAATAATTATCTTAAACTGTCAAAATAAGAAACCAGAACTTTGAACACAGTTTGGATGACCAGCCTTCGTGTGTGCAGTACAGCCCCAGGATCTGAATTAGAGAATGAGTGCTTTGCCTTCAGTGTTATAGCTAGCAACTACCAACTTTAACCAGCGTGATATATCCTCTTATTTTTAATAATTGTTGATAATGATGACTATAATAGTGTATTTACTATCCTTAGGTGTTGAAAAACAGTAATACCAACAACAATAACATACCAAATTTACTTCTTTGCTGCATTCACCAGTTGGTTCATCGAGGTTTACGTCTGCCATCTCACTTGTTTCTGTTGTTTTTTCCTTCATTTTTTCACATATATCTCCAGTTGCTGCTTCTTCTGGGGAAAGCTCACTGTTGACGTTCCCCTGGAAGATCTCAGGGCCAGATTCCTTAATACCTTCACGAAAATGGCAGCTACATATTCGGGAGTTTAAGGTTGGTTCCTTGACACCTCTCCTGGAATAGATACACCCAAAAATATATGAGAACACCAGCAGAAAATTATCTAGCATTTGTTTCTGATATGATAAAAATATTCTTGTAGTCAGAACTGTGGGTGGTAGTGACCAAATTTCAGTCTAGATGTAGGTCTGTTCTCAAGTGTCGTTCCCGTAGAGAAGGGGTTAAAACATTGACCAACGGAGCCTATAATGTTTAATCTGATTTTAAACATTTTTACTTGGGGATTAGATACCTGTATCTCTTTTTTACGGAAGGACTTTTTTTTACGGGGAATAGCCCACCTGGGCACAGGTCATTAACCCACAACGAGGCCTACGGGGCGAAAAAATACGAGTAAAAAGAAATTAAAAAGATAAAAGAAAAATATTATATTAATCTACACCACGAAGAAGCCGGAGAACCAGCTGTTTGAAGTGAGACAGATTGTATGAGTATGGAAACAGAAGAAGGCAGAGCATTCCACAGTTTGGTTGTGTGAGGAAAGAAGGATATACTATAACGGGTTATCCTATAGTGTGGCCGACATCCACAGAGAAACGGTGGGCACCGCGGGCAAGACGAGTGTTACGAGCCCACGGCTTTGCCGGCGGTACACAGGATGCCAAATCCACCGAACATTGCCCGTTAAAGTACCTGTAAAAGAGAGAGAGTGAAGCAATATTGCGGCGAAGAGAAAGGAGGAGGAGAGTTAATAAGACGAAATGCCTTTGATTCCACCCTATACCTAACAGTTCAAACTGAAAAGTACTCGGTGCACATTGTGGCACCTACAACAGAGTTAAATAAATTAAAATGCACCTATGGTTAGCTGAAAACCTAATTTTTTTTCAGACTGGAGATCCTCTCCTCCCTATAATAACAATAATAATGATGATAATAATAACAATATTAATTCAGTAAAATTGTCGCACAGGTTTACAGTTGGATAAGAATATTTATAAACTATGCAACTATACAGTTCAGCATGAATATAGACAAAACAGAAAGCATAATGTGTTGTCTAATGGTGGACCCTGCTGCCATATGGCATCACAAAAATTGTGACCAAGTCCCAGGTTGCTGATCTGACTTTCTGCCTCATTTACACACAATTGCAGGGTCTGAATTGATTCTCTTACTTTGACAACACAACATACATATATCATTTCTCACTCTTGATATTTTTTATTTATGGCTCTATAGTATTAGTATTTTTATTTATAATTTTTATAATTTTTTATTATTTTCTTTTACTTTAATTATTTATTTGTATATATTTTTATTAAATTTATTACTATTATTATTATCATCATCATAATTATTATTATTATTATTTTATTATACTTTCGCCCAGGCCTTGATGTGGGTCATTAGCAATGACCTGTGCCCGGGTGGGCTAATGCCCGTAAAAAACAAAAAACAAAAAAAAATAAAATAAAATACGGTGCACATAGGCTGCGGGAGTATGCAAGCCTGTGTGCCGAGACAGTGCAAGTAAACAACAATGGTAAACAGGGGTCACTTTGGGGACGGGAAGTGCATGCTTCACATGTGAACTTCACACATATAATTATTTCCTTGTAATCGATATCTCGAATTATTGTAAAACACGCTATTAAAATAAATTTGTTTAGAACCATAGTAATCGATGCTCAGGGAACGTGACGTCACGCGTTACCGGTGATGCTGTCTCATCAAATCTATAAAATCTATAAAATATATAAAACGTATTCTTACCTGATTAAATCGCTCCACCGTGTAATTTGCTTGCAGTTCTTTGGAAACCGGAAAAATTTACAAGTGTGGCTTTCGGAATAATGATTGCAATCCGGGGCATAACACTGAACCATCTTCAATTGAACTCAAATGTGCCCACTTTACAGTGACAAAATGCGATGGTATAATCTTATGCGAATGCCGACAGTCACTGCTCTTTTAAAAAAATATCGGGGAATAATACGACCATTACCCTGACCAGACACTCAAATGCTAGTCGTCTACTCCGGTGGTGGTAACCACGCCATCTGAATCGATTTGTTTAGAACCGAGGACGTCGTTACTATGGGAACATGACGTCAAACTTCTGGCGCTGAATGGCGTGACGCAGAACAGGGTAAAGCTAGGAGTGTCATCTGCATAAAACTCCTTTATCCTCTATTTTGATACAAACCTTTGGCTGAATTTTAAAAAACACTTCACAGATGAATATGTAACCTTTAATGAGCTCAAGTCATTTAACGTTGAATAACATAGTCGTAATGCGCATGACTACGATTTCGCCAAGAGAAAAGTGGCGGGAAAGAATTAAACTGTTATAATAGACAAATTGTAATAATTGCATGTAACTTTGATGATATATTCAATTTGTTATAATTGGAAATGTAAAATAGTTAATTCATCTTTTTATTATGTGTGGTTTTAACATAAGTACAGGGGTATTATATTAGTATATACAAAAACTTTTATATCTTATACTTCTCTAATTGTTGCGTTAATGGACTAGTCTCGTGTAATTTACTATGCTACGCGCTTAAAGACCTAAATGTATGCATGGATGTGTAGTGGATTTCTCCCCTACAAAAGCTGTTTGTCGCTGAGTAGCCGACCCCA